AAAATGGTTGAAATCGAACCGGGTTGCAACTTTGGATTTCACCGGTTTTTTCTGATTTTCTGACAAATTCTGCTGTTTTTCGTGGGCTGAAAATTGTCTCGAGTTATTGCTCGCAGCCAATTTTAACAACCCATCGTCTTTTAGGAAACTGAACACACTCACTGTTGATTCGCCACTATAATTTCCTTTGCACTTGGGGACACAGCACTTAGAGGGCATTTTTACAATATTTATTTTAAAAACACAGATATAAAACACTCAAAACGCACTTTGGAGCTTAATTTTAGAGCCTGTCGATTACAAGCCTAATAAACCACCCACAAAATGCAAGCACGTGTTGTATAAATTAGCGTCTTCTTGACTCTGTTCGGTCTATTTGGCGGTAACAGTTTAACCCACTTTGTCGCCCCAGCGCACCGAGCCCAGCACTGCGCCAACTCCTAAAAACTCACTGAGTTACCCAGGCCTAGTTTCGATATCAGCTGGTCCCAGAGTGTTCCAGTTATTGAAGTTATTGCTTTCCTTCCGTGTACATTGCGGCCTTATTATTATTATTATATTCGCTATTGGGCAGCCATCAGTTTTCGGGCATCTGCTGTCGAAAGTGTCCACTTTGGCCCACTCTGCACAACTTAAATTGATTTGGAAAGTTTTCGGGAAAATCTATTTACACTAGGTGTGTTTGTGCAGGAAAACCGGTAGCAGGAGTGGATTGCAACCGCAGCAAGGGCTACGTGACCAACGCAGTGGGCGAATGCGTGTGCCCGCCCCACACTGCGCCCAACAACAACGACGACTGCGTCCCCTGCAGCGCCGATAAGGGGCTGCGCATTGATGAGCGCGGTAGATGCGTCTGCGCGCTGGAACGGGGCTTCATCATTGATGAGCGCGGCAACTGCGCCTGCCATCTGGAATATGGATATCGACTGGACGCGCGAGGCAACTGCGTCCGGGAAAAGGTGTCCGACTGCGAAACCAACGACGATTGTCCCGACCATAAATACTGCAACTTGGAGACGAAAACCTGCGACAATCCGTGCGCTACCAAGCGCTGTGGGGTTTATGCGCTGTGCAACGCCACAAACCATCAGGCCATCTGCCAGTGCGTGAGCGGATACTCTGGGAATCCTGATAAATACTGCAGTAAGTTTCACTCGGTTTGGTTGAAGCAGGCTCAAAACGCACCCTCTTCCTAGATGGCAGCATAGCCTTCCGCACCGACTTCCCCAAACCGGAGATGCTAGTCAGCTGTCTATCCGATGGAGTCCAAGTGAAAATCGACGTGAACGAACAGGAAGGCTTCAATGGCGTTCTCTACGTTAAAGGCCACAGCAAGGACGAGCAGTGCCGAAGAGTCCTCACTCTGCCTGCCAGCTCCCACATCAGAACCGAACTGTTCAAGGTGCAGTTCGGCAACTGCGGCCTGATCCATGTGAATGTACGTGTGGTGCAGACCCGATGGGGTGCAGCCCATACTGACCAGCGCGTTTCTGTTCCAGGGCAAAGCCAGCTTCGTGCTGGTGATCCAAAAACACCCGAAACTGGTCACCTACAAGGCGCAAGCCTACCACATTCAATGCGTCTACCAAACCGGCGAGCAAAACGTCACACTGGGCTTCAACGTGTCCATGCTGACGACAGCAGGAACGATAGCGAATACGGGCCCGCCTCCCACCTGCCTGATGAAGATCGTCACGCCCACCGGCCAGGAAATCAACTCGGCAGAAATCGGCGACAGTCTTATTTTGCAGGTCGATGTCCAGCCCGGGTCGATCTATGGGGGCTTTGCCAGGAGCTGTGTGGCCAAAACAATGGAGGATGCCGTGGAGAACGAGTATTTGGTCACCGATGAGAACGGCTGTGCTACGGATCCGTCCATTTTTGGCGACTGGGAGTACAACGCCGATACTCAAAGTCTGCTGGCCACTTTCCACGCGTTCAAATTCCCCAGCAGCGACAATATTCGATTCCAATGCAACATCAGGGTCTGCTTTGGCAAATGCCAACCGGTAAGTTCGAGGGTCGGTTTCATTGACAGCGATGGACGCGGAAGTCTGCAAACATTTTTACTCGAATGAATCAAAAAGTGCCACTTTGCGAACAGAGGCAATGATCAAAAAGAAGCACTTTTCTTTAGCGTTCATTTACAAGAAATTACGTAGGTTTATCAACAACTATTGATCCTATTTTCAAGTTTACTTATACGTAAATTATACCTTCGTTACAAGTTCAGTCTCACAATCGTTTTAATGGCCTACTTATCTACTTTTGCGATGTTGTCACACGTAAAACACGATCTTTTTAAGAAGCGCAAATGTCATGCAGAGTATGCAACATGCATACACCATCCCAAGACCACAGGTGTTTCAAGTTGAAAAAGTACTTAAACTTCATTACAAACTTCAAAACATGACATTTCAAAAAATGACATTGCCACAAAATTTTAAATATGAAATCGACGCATTTTATTATTCGTGTAATCATTCGAATAAAAAATAGTGTTCGATACGAAGGCGAAAATTTGTTTTTCGCCCTTGTATCGAAAACTACTATTAAATCTCTAGTAGTGGTCGATGTTGTTCTGAGCACTCACACTTCGAAGGAATAAAAGAAAAAGATCGAAAAGATAAACAGTTTTGAAGGTTTTCTGCCTTAAAATCAGTGTCGTGCCCGAAGAGCTGGAAACACATTGAAATCAGGAAGTTGTCCATGTCGATCGATGAGTCGAGCGAAAATACATTCAGTAGCAAAACAAAGATCCCAAGTGCCACTCTGGCGTTTTTGGCTCCAAACTCCTGACGAGATTTCTTTATTTTGATTTTTTTTCACCGAAAGAGGCCGACAGACTGTGATTTTTACCCGGACGATTTTACTGCCAAACAGAAGTCAATATGGAGAACAGGATTTAACACTTTTTTTCATTTTAGTCGCGCTTGGGATTAACTTTTAACAATCTCTGAAAAATCACTCTTTCTTCCAATTTGTCTGTACTTTGGCGTGGAAAGACAGTCGTGTGTCTTTATGAATCGAGTCAAATATCAAGTCGCTGCTCCAGCTGGTTTTGGAACTTCGATTTTTTTCTGCTGACTTCCAGTTTTCACCATTAACGCTTTTGGCTTAACTTTCAAAATTCTCAGAAAATCAGTCTTTCATCCGATTGCGCTGCATTCTGACGCAGAAAGAGACTCTTGTGTCTTGATTAAATGGGCGAAATTTCAAAACGCTGGTTGAACAAGTTTTAAAGCCATGATTTTTTTTTTAGCGTCTTTCAGTTTGTGTCTTAGTCGCGCTTTGGTCTAACTTTGAACAATCTTTGAAAAATCACTCTTTCTTCCACTTTGTCTGTACTTTGGCGTGGAAAGACAGTCGTGTGTCTTCATGAATCGAGTCAAATTTAAAGTCGCTGCTCCAATAGGTTTTAAAACTTCGATTTTTTTCTGCTGACTTCCAGTTTTCACCGTTAACGCTTTTGGCCTAACTTTCAAAAATTCTCTGAAAATCAGTCTTTTATCGGATTGCGCTGCATTCTGGCGCAGAAAGAGGCTCGTGTATCTTGATTAAATGGGCGAAATTTCAAATCGCTGGTTGAACAAGTTTTAAAGATATGATTTTTTTTTGGCGTCTTTCAGTTTGGGTCTTAGTCGCGCTTGAGTCTAACTTTTAACAATCTTTGAAAAATCACTCTTTCTTCCAATTTATCTGTACTTTGGCGTGGAAAGACAATCGGGTGTCTTTAAGAAATGAGTCAAATTTCAAGTCACTGCTCCAGCTGGTTTTGGAACTTCGATTTTTTTCTGCTGACTTCCAGTTTTCACCGTTAACGCTTTTGGTTTAACTTTCAAAATTCTCAGAAAATCAGTCTTTCATCCGATTGCGCTGCATTCTGGCGCAGAAAGAGACTCGTGTATCTTGATTAAATGGGCGAAATTTCAAATCACTGGTTCAACAGGTTTTAAAGCCATTATTTTTTTTTGGGGTCTTTCAGTTTGTGTCTTAGTCGCGCTTGAGTCTAACTTTTAACAATCTTTGAAAAATCAATCTTTCTTCCAATTTATCTGTACTTTGGCGTGGAAAAGCAGTCGTGTGTCTTCATGAATCGAGTCAAATTTCAAGTCGCTGCTCCAGCAGGTTTTAAAATTTCGATTTTTTTCTGCTGACTTCCAGTTTTCACCGTTAACGCTTTTGGCCCAACTTTTAAAAATTCTCTGAAAATCAGTCTTATATCCGATTGCGCTGAGTTCTGGCGCAGAAAGAGACTCGTGTGTCTTGATTAAACGGGCGAAATTTCAAATCGCTGGTTCAACAGGTTTTAAAGCCATGATTTTTTTTGGCGTCTTTCAGTTTGTGTTTTAGTCGCGCTTGGGTCTAACTTTTAACAATCTTTGAAAAATCACTCTTTTTTTCAATTTATCTGTACTTTGGCGTGGAAAGACAGTCGGGCGTCTTTAAGAAATGAGTCAAATTTCAAGTCGCTGCTCCAGCACGTTTTCTTCGAATTTTTTCTGCTGACTTCCAGTTTTCACCGTTAACGCTTTTGGCCTAACTTTCAAAAATTCTCTGAAAATCAGTCTTTTATCGGATTGCGCTGCAT